AATAAGTCTGTGGGAAAAAAAAACTGTCGTAGACCATTAAGTCTGTCGTGGAAAATAAATCTGTCACAACGAAGCCCGCAGACTTTTCACGGCAGATTTGTTTCTTCGAAAAAAATTCACCGAGGTTTCCAAAAAAATCAGAGGGTAATATTGACTTTTTTTTTTCCTAACAAATAGACAAGGGGTATTTTGGTCATGAAAATAACTAGATTGACCCATATATTTTATGAGTTATTCTAGTAATTAAACCTTATTTCCGGGTCAAACTAGTTTTTTTCCCAAATCTTCAAATACTGTTAGGCGCTAACTAGACGTTTGGTAAGAGCTTAGCACCTAAATCGATTAATCGGAGTGTAGACATTAATGAAGTTTTTATTGGTTTCAGTAATATTTATTATTTTAAGTACTAATAAAAATAATTTTATAAATTTGGAAACCTAAAAGTGTTAGAATGCTTTTTCCTAATTGGAAATATATAACATTTTCATCTCTCATGTAGATTGTCATGGATGAGTCTCTTAACTCAATAATTCTCTCTTATGTGCAATTGGTAGCTTTCCAATATTTGTTATTTCTTTCTTTTGTTTTATTTAAAGAAACGAAGTAGTATTTAAAGAAGTAGCCTTCACAGACATTTTTAAATATTTGGTTAAGAATGCTCTTGTTAAAATTAAGACATCTTCTATTATTCGATTGAAACTACCAAAAATGTGAGATTATCAAATTTATCCATATAAAGTTTTTCAAAATTCTTCGAAGTTTATACTACAAGAAAACATGTTGTAACCGATGGAATTATTTGTCTGTTAGTCGTCGGGAATCGCCTATACTGACGGATTTCGGACAAAATTATTCTGTTGGTTCTAGAGCGTCGGAAAAAATAATTGTCGGGAATCAGCCGGATATTTTCGATGAGTCACGATCGATTCACGACAGTGATATTTCTGAAAGTAATACGAAGGTATAGACGTCAGAAAATGATGTCGGGCATCCGTTGGATATTGCTTCCGACAATATTCTGATGACTTATATAGACAAGCAAACAGAAGGATTCCCGATGGATTGAAGGAACATATCCCGACGGATTGAAGGAACATATCCCGACGGGTTTCTGATGGGCAAGTAACATTTTTTAGTTTAAAATAATGAAAGATATTAAAATGTCGGAAAATGCGCGAACTTTCAAATTTGGGATAAAAAACATGAACTTTCGAAACGTCATTTATATCATAAAGTTTAGTTTGACTTTTGATAAAATCGTTAAGTTTTGTTGACTTGGCCATTTCGGGCATGTCGTTAAATTTCCGTTAACGAGACGTTGACGAAGTTAACTTTTCGTTAGAAATCTCCGTTTAATTGTATATACTTCCAATCTAACTATAAATATCACATCAATTTCAAGATGGAATAATTATGTTTTATATTTTTCTAATATATATTATACAATAAATACAAATAAATTTAATAAATATATGTATTTTATTATAAATATAATTATTTATAAAGTTAAATTGAATAAAATTCTATGTACATGTATAAATTAATCCTATATTTATATGAGAAGGATTGTATAAATTTTAGGTCATATATTTAATTTTTTATATTCCATATGTTTCAGTTTTTGTTTTTTTTTTTATAATTTAGGAAATCTTTTTAGATAAAATTAAATATTTGAAATTTCGAAATATATATTTATGGTAAATAGATTTAATATTTTTATATTTTTGGTTACTGATTCATTTTTAGTTTTGTTATTTTTAATTAATTGCATATATTTTTAATTAATTGTATATTGTTTTTTAAGTATATATACAATCTGTTTGTTATAATTCCAAAATGTTATCGTAGCTCAATGGTTCATAGGCTCTTATGCGTCCAAGAGGTAAGCTGTTCGATTTTTCATGGACGCAGTTGATTCGTTTTATTTTCTAGTGAAACGATATCGATTTGTTGTTTTTAAAACGACATCGTTTCGATTCAACGGAGATTTCTAACAGAAAGTTAACCCTGTCATCGTCTCGTTAACGGAAATTTAAAGACATGCCCAAAATGGCTAGGTCAACGAAAACTTAATCATTTAATCAAAAGTCAAACTAAACTTTATGATTTAAATGACATTTCGAATGTTCATGTTTTTTTTTGTCCCAAATTTGAAAGTTCGCGCATTTTTCGACATTTTTCCCATTCTTTTTATATATTTTAGGATAAATAATATTTAAAAAAATTTCATTTATTTAATTTAAAATTATAAATTATTAGAAAATTATAATAATTAAGCCAAAAATATATAAAAATTATATAATCCAAGTTGAAATACAAGATTATTATTTTATTTTATTTTGTCAACAACTTTATTAGATTAGGTTAAAATAACCAATTCTGGGGGATTGTTTACATAGGTGATTAGTTGCGGTTGGGTACGAACAGTTCGCGTCAAATTATCTGCTTTTGAATTCGCACGTCGAGAAATCAAAGGTAAAGTGAAAAAATCAAACTCATCCTTGTCGCTTGAGTCTGAAGTACAAGATTATTCAAAAACCAAAAATAAATTCAAATACATAAATTATTTTTTGGAAATGGGAAGCTCGATCAATTATTTGGAGGGGTAGGGAGACGGCTCCTTACTTCCGCCATGAAGGCTTCCATCTCTTTCAATCTTAGAGAGTCGTCACTTTCTCATCTTTGACAATATTCTTCAAAGCCGCAATCTGATCGTGAGAAAAAAAAAAGACGAGGCGGAATGACCAGATTGGCATTGGGTTAAATTTCCTAACCCGAAGGTGCATCCCTTACACTTCGTTGTTTCCTACATGCGAAATGAAGACAATTAGTACGTATATTACAAGAAAACATGTTATTTGCGACTCCTAGAAACATCACAAAAAGTTCGCTATTCGCTAACACCTACTTTGCGACTACTTAACGACGTATTTTTGAAGGGTTTAGACCAAATTCAAACGGTAATAAATGACTATATTAACAGATCTATTTTTTGACAGAATTTTCGACAGAATTTATCAATTTCAATAATCTGTCATAAAGCCATTAGTAAATGTCAATATTATCGTGGGATTCTCGACAGGTTTTACCGACAAATGTCTCCCGTCGGAAATCTGTCGGGAGATTCCATATTTCCGACGGGTTCCGACGATTCTTCCCGTCGTAAATTTGTCGGAATTCCTATTAACTATGTGTTTTCTTTTAGTGATTGTATACCTATTGATAGTTTAGCATTTAAATTAAGTCTTTATTTTTCCATATACTTTAGTTTAACATTAGATATAATGTGTGAATTTAATGAAATGTCATTTTTTATGGACCAAATCATTAGAAGTATAACATGTCTTAAGTTTTGGAGCCAAATCTTTTGGAGCATGTTTAACTTGATGATAGACATAGGGGTTGGAAGGAAGTGGTAAAGTATTCCTTTTAAGGGGTTTCACCGGACAGAGCCTTCTGTACATATTTTTAACTAAAAGTGTTTTTTTTTTTTTTTTGCCAATCATTTTAACTAAAAGTGTTTATGAGAGGGATTTCGAGTATTTTAGACATATGTTTGTTTGCCACAGGATTTGTGCTCATATTTAAATATTTGCTTATTATCTTTGTTGTAAGTGTTTGACAATCGTTCCTTTATCTTTTCTCTTCTCTCTCCTCTATTTTTGATCTAGGGTTTTCAAAGTCGCAGCCGCTTAAGTTTAAGGATCTTCATTGCCGGTGGCTAGGTCAAGGATTGATCGATGGTGTGTGCCTTCTTCTCCGGTGATGTGTGGTGTGGTTGGATCCTCTGCTCGATTCAAGTCGGTGGCTCTTCTCGGCTGTTTTGGGGTGTTTGTTCCCACGTTTTGCTGGTCAAGGACTCCGGCGGTTCTGAGATAGTCTCTCTTGGCTCGGCGGCTTGAGATGTAGCTCTGATTTGCTACAAAATCCAAGATATACTACAGAGATTTTGAATTCCACACAAACGGATTCTTGGGGTTATTGAACTTAGGATTTTTACTGAATTTGAAAGAAATTAGAATTATATTAAAATCTAGTGTTATTCAACTTATTGGTTTTAGAATTCTATTAAATTCTACCGTTATTGAATTTATTGGTTTTAGAATTCTATTAAATTCTATTGTTATTCACTATTAAGATTGTTTTAATGTCAATGTGATTTGATAAGAATTTAACAGAGATGAAAGGAAAAAAAACGTGAAGAAACAAATCCCACCTTTTATGGTGTAATTTGGATAGAATTTTTCAATTGCTATAAAATCTTTTATTTTTCTATTTATTTTAATTCTTTTAAATTCATAAAATTAATTTTCAGTTCTTAAGATTTACGAAACTATTGTTTTTTTTTTTGATAAAATAACCAATTATAGATGAAGCTGACTTTTGATTTTGTCAAGTTAAAAAAATAAAATCGATATTTAAATTTCATAAAATACCAAATCAAACATTTTGACATTTTTTACTATAGATTGTGTTGACTTTCATTAAACAAATTTTTATTGTTTATTATAAACCACCTATGAAAGTAACATATTCTAGAGATGGCTGTAAATGAGTGTTAACGGCTGTGATGAGGTCTGAATAGCATAAGCAAAGTTGTGAGGTATGTATCCTCTTCTGGGAGGACTCATTCTCCACGAGAATAATGGAGCTGAGGGAGAGGGCTCTTTGTATGTAATCTCTAGTTTCGCTCCTTCCATATCAACTAAATACAAGCTTGCAGATCAATCTTAATGATAAGCGGAGTGTTCGGAGACTTGCTTTCCTCGTTAAGAACTTTCAAATTTCAAGAAAATGAAAAAGAAGAAGAGGTGCCAATGTTTTTTGAAGGAAGCATGCATGAGGCAAGGATATCAAAGCCCAAATAACAACAACACATATTAATAATGTCAGAAATCTTAATAAAAAAAAAAACAAAAAACTATTTCGGAAACATATATCATATAATATTTATTTCATTATGGTTTCCGAGTCTTAGAAAAAATGTTATAAATATTCAATAGATAGATATTATTTCATTCAAATTACATGAGCCGTGTTAAGAGGCGATCGACGACTTGTTCACATTTATGGACAGACGAGTTTACTTCTTAGCGGTAATTGAGACTCAATGGTCACACCAAAAAACAAAAAGTAAAATGTAAAGAAGAATAGCAATATATATTGAAAGTAAAAACAACATAATCATTTCTCAACCTCAGTCTCACCGGAGAGCTCTTCAAGGGACTTGCCCTTGGGCTCAGGGACAAGGAAGGTGAAGAGCATACCCACAAAGTTAATGACACCAAGCATGATCAGCGAGTTCTTGACTCCGATGCCCGGTGGGTAACCTGCGTCAGTCTTTTTGGGATCCTGTGATTGAGCAGCGTAAAGGAACCCGAAGGCTCCAACAATGGCTCCAGCCTTACCTGTAGCGGCTGATATTCCGTGGCATGTAGACCTTAGCCTGGCCGGGAAGATCTCAGCTGGGACAATGAAGGTGGTTGCATTTGGTCCAAAGTTAGCAAAGAAAAAGGTGAGGGAGTACATAATCACGAATCCGATACGGTTGTCTGGTTTGATCCAGTGGTTGTAAGGGAAGGCAATGGCGAACATAAAGACAGTCATCATGAAGAATCCCATCAGCTGGATCGCAAACCTTCCGATGATATCAATAAATGCGACCGTAAACCAGTAACCGGGGACTGTACTGCAGAGTGCAATGAGAGTTTGTGCCCTGGCGATCATGAAAACCTCGTGGATTCCGTTCATCGTTGCTGCCTTTGGGATCCATCCAATAGCCGAAAAGATATCCTTTTGGAACAAGTTTTGGCTGTAGAAGGCAATGTCAAGCAAGAACCAAGTTGAGGTACATCCAAGAAGGGGAAGACCATGGCGCCGGGCGAATTCCTTGGAGAACAAGCCATAGTTAAGTCTTGGGTCTTTAACGACTTCTTCTGCCCTCTCTTCCATCTCAAGATCCACTTGTAAAACCTTGGACATATCTTCTGTGGCTTGTTTGATGTTCTTGGCCACCAAAGCGGTGTAACGAGCGGTTTCGGGCATCTTCATACGCCAGTAGTAAGTCAGGGCTGCGGGTAGAGCACCAAACATGACAATGATTCGCCAAATGTAATCAGCTTGAGGAGGCGTTGAGAGAGCCCTGTTGACAGCATAAGTCGGAGCTGGGAATTTGTTGTCGAAAATGGTAGATACCGCAAGTGCAACGAAACCTCCGGCCAAGATACCGACACCTTGCATGGCGAACACGGCCGCTATGAAAGCTCCACGGGTCTTCTTGTTAGCGTATTCGGACATAATGGTGGCTGAAAGAGGGTAGTCACCTCCAATACCGAATCCCAGCCAAAACCTAAACAAAATTGTTTTAAGGTTAAAAATATTTGTGTTATTTAAATAGAGATATCATTTTTAAACCACCCTCATCTTTATACATTTAAATATCCACAGTGAGATTATTATCAAATCATGTGTAAATGTGTAATATATATGAATGATAATTGTACCTGAAGAAGCACAGAGTGGTCATGACACCCTTGGCACTGCTACCTAAGGAGAGACCGGATGCGACGGAGCACACGATCATCATGATTAAAGTGATACCGTACACTTTCTTCCTACCGAGCTTGTCACCGAGCCATCCGAAGAAAAGCTGACCAGCAAGGGTCCCGCAAAGGGCCACACCGTTGACCGCAGCCGCAACGTGAGGGGGAAGAGTGCCAGGCTTCTCTGACAACGGATTGAAGTAGTAGAGCCGGCCAAGGAGCTTAGTCACCAAGGACACGCAAAACAGATCGTATGCGTCTGTAAAGAATCCCATACCGGCGATGACAATCGCCGTGAAATGGTAAAGTTGCGTTTTCGCAACATCGAGTGCCTTAAGCACTCCTAGTTGCTGCTCAGCCATCTCACCTTTGCTTGTCTCTCCTGTTTTCACGTACTAAAGTTAATATTCGATATTGAACTTTTGTCATATAATCTATAATAAAATTAGAATGCTATTACAATTCTAATTTAATACTTTAAAATTTTAACGAAACTTTTTTTAATATATGTTAACTAACACTTAACATACTCTATTCAGCGAGTGCAAACAATTTTTTTGATTATGTATATATATATATATATATCTGAATTTGATGAAGAAATAAACTTGTAATCTTACCGTCACGTTGTGTTAATGTGGCGAAGGACGATGTAAGAGAGAGATGTAATGAGAGAGAGAGGAGATGGGGGATGTATTTGTGTTGTCTGGTGGCTGAGACGACGGAAATTTATAGATGAGATCGGAGAAGCATAGTCTCCGGCATCTTATGGTATATCCACATTTTTATTTTTATTTTTAATCATTTGACCATCTCCTTTTTCTTGCTCTTCTGGATATATTATTAGCTGGACTTTAGTTATGGACCCATTCCATTAATTTTGGTCAATTTTACTCTCTAATAGTCTAATGCTATTACAGGGGATAAGTACCCTTACTTATCCACACGACAAGCGTAGTCCTCCACTATGTTACGATCATCCGCTTACTTATCTCTCTGATCACAACTTTTTAATCCATTGTAACTTTTCAATTCGTGAACATCATGCGAAAGTAAAACGTTACAAAACTATACTAAAGTGGAATCTATATGAAAGTATAGAAAGGCATATATTACCATGCGACAAGATGTGACAATACGTAATTAAAATGGAAAAAAAAAGATCCCTAAATTCATGTATTCATCTTTTTCTCTAGGAATATAAGTATTTCATTAAAATAAAAACGGTTTAGGTGTACCATCGAACGATTAAAAAACCTATACAAATGCTTTCATGACAAAAAAAAAGTGGAAACATAGTTTTTCTCAGTTTATCCATTTATTTATAAGCAAAAAAGCTAATGGATTTAGACGAAATGATTACAATTTTACTGTTCTTTCCAGATTTTTTGTTCGAGAGTAAGGAAGAATGCAAATTGTAAAAGCCAAGGTACCAAGACAGAGAACACTAGAAGCCTTCAAATGAGGGCCAAGATTCAACGGCAAAGAACGCTAAGCCATTTAACGTTGGAGTTACATACAATTTTCATCGCAAAAAGAAAAGAAAAAAAAAACAAATCAAAAGCATGCATTATAGATATTTACGTTGGAATTACATACACTTTTCATTGTTGCTGATTTATTATAATCGAATTAAAAGTTCTTTCAAGATTTTTTGCTTCTTGCTCTATTGTTTACAACAATTAATGAGAATGATAACAAATTAAATAAAGAGAAGTATAGGGAAAAGATCATAGGTCTAAAATATAAAAAAATATCTTTAGTATGCATCCTTAAGGTTATACTTAAGGACCTAGAACCGGATTTTTGAAACTGGTAAGTTCGCTGAGCAAAAAGGTTTAATTTATTAAGCTGGATTATTGTAAAAGATTTACAACCTTGAAATCAATGTTCAAATATTGTTAGGCGCTAACTAGACGTTTGGTAAGAGCTTAGCACCTAAATCGATTAATTGGAGCGTAGACATTAATGAAGTTTTTATTGGTTTCAGTAATATTTCTTATTTTAAGTACTAATAAAAATAATTTTATGAATTTGGAAACCTAAAAGTGTGAGAATGCTTTTTCCTAATTGGAAATATATAAAATTTTCATCTCTCTTATGTAGATTGTCATGGATGAGTCTCTTAACATTCTCTCTTCTTGCAATTGGTAGCTTTCCAATATTTGTTATTTCTTTCTTTTGTTTTATTTCAAGAAACGACGTAGTATTTAAAGAAGTAGCCTTCGCAGACATTTTTAAACATTTGGTTAAGAATGCTCTTGTTAAAATTAAGACATCTTCTATTATTCGATTGAAACTACCAAAAATGTGAGATTATCAAATTTATCCGTATAAAGTTTTTCAAAATTCTTCGAAGTTTATACTACAAGAAAACATGTTGTTACCGATGGAATTATCCGTCAGTTAGTCGTCGGGAATCGCCTATAATGACGAATTTCGGACCAAATTATTTCGTTGGTTCTAGAGCGTCGGAAAAAAAAAATTTCGGGAATCAGCCGGATATTTTCGACGAGTCACGATCGATTCACGACAGTCATATTTCTGAAAGTAATACGACGGTATAGACGTCAGGAAATGACGTCGGGCATCCATTGGTTATTGCTTCCGACAATATTTCGATGACTTATATAGACAAGCAAACAGAAGAATTTCCGACGGATTGAAGGAACATATCCCAACGGGTTTCCGACGGGCACAGAAATTTACCCGACGGATTTCCGATGGGCAAGTAACATTTTTTTGTTTAAAATAATGAAAAATATTATTCTTTTTAATATATTTTAGGATAAAATATATATATATATATATATATATATATATATATATATATATATATATATATATATATATTTAATTTATTTAATTTAAAATTCTAAATTATTAGAAAAATTATAATAATTAAGCCAAAAATATATAAAATTTATATAATCCAAGTTGAAATACAAGATTATTTATTATTTTTTGTCAACAACTTTATTAGATTAGCTTAAAATAGCCGATTTTGGGGGATATTGTTTACATAGGTGATTAGTTGCGGTTAGGTACGAACAGTTCACGCCAAATTATCCGCTTTTAAATTTGCACGTCAAAGATAAAAAGAAAAAATCAGACTCATCCTTGTCGCTTGAGTCTGAAATACAAGATTATTCAAAAACCAAAAATAAATTCAAATACATAAATAATTTTTGGAAATGGGAAGCTCGATCAATTATTTGGAGGGGTAAGGAGACGGCTACTTACTTCCACCATGAAGGCTTCCTTCTTTTTCACTCTTAGAGCGTCGCCACTTTCTCATCTTCGACAATATTCTCCAAAGCCGCAATCTGATCATCTTTTTCTTGTAGGGCTTGTGAGAGGTGAGATCGTGAGAAAAAAAAAGACGAGGCGGAATGACCGGATTGGCATTGGGTTAAATTTTCTAACCCGAAGGTGGGTCCCTTACACTTCATTGTTTCCTACATGCGAAATGAAGACAATTAGTACGTATATTACAAGAAAACATGTTATTTGCGACTCCTAGAAACGTCACAAAAAGGTTGCTAACACCTACTTTGCGACTACTTAACGACGGATTTTTGAAGGGTTTAGACCAAATTCAAACGGTAATAAATGACTATATTAACGGATCTATTTTTGACAGAATTTTTCAACGTCAATAATCTGTCAGAAATCCGTCAGTAAATGTCAATATTATCGAGGGATTCCCGACAGGTATTACCGACAAATGTCTCCCGTCGGAAATCTGTCGGAAGATTCCATATTTCTGACGGCTTCCCGACGGGTTCCGACAATTCTTCCTGTCGTAAATTTGTCAGAATTCCCATTAACTCTGTGTTTTCTTTTAGTGATTATATACCTATTGATAGTTTAGCATTTAAACTAAGTCTTTATTTTTCCATATAATTTAGTTTAACATTAAATATGAGACTTTACCTTTGTAAATAATTATAATGTGTGACTTTAATGAAATGTCATTTTTTATGGACCAAACACGAAATATACATATCCAGGGAATTTATATGGAGGCAAATCTTTTGTGGAGGCAAAACTACAAATCATTAGAAATATAACATGTCTTAAGTTGTGGAGGCAAATCTTTTGGAGCATGTTTAACTTGACGATAGACTTAGGGGTTGGAAGGAAGTGGTAAACTATTCCAAGGGGTTTCACAGGACACACCCCTCGGTACATATTTTTAACTAAAAGTGTTTATGAGAGGGATTTCGAGTATTTTTGACAGATGTTTGTTTGCCACAGGATTTGTGCTCGTATTTAAATATTTGCTTATTATCTTTGTTGTAAGTGTTTGACAATCGTTCCTCTCTCTTCTCTCTCCTCTACTTTTGATCTAGGGTTTTCAAATTCGTAGCCGCTTAAGTTTAAGAATCTTCATCGCCGGTGGCTAGGTCATGGATTGATCGATGGTGTGTGTCTTCTTCTCCAGTGATGTGTGGTGTGGTTGGATCCTCTGCTCGATGCAAGTCGGTGGCTCTTCTTCTCGGCTGTTTGGGGTGTTTGTTCCCACGTTTTGCTGGTCAAGGACTCCGGTGGTTCTGAGATAGTCTCTCTTGGCTCGGCGGGTTGAGATGTACTTGAGATGTAGCTCTGATTTGCTACGAAAGTTAGACTTTGGATCAGTGAGTTCCTCACTTAGCAAAGGGATTAACGGTGGATCCTTCCCTAGACCCTAGATGGCTAGATGTGGGTGTTCCTTGGCTGGATCTGTGTGGTTTTTTGGATTTTTTTAACTGTAAATATTTTAACGAAAAGTTACGATAAAAAGACACAATCTTTTAGAAGTGCTTGCGATAAAAAGACAGAATCGTAAAAAAAAAACCCGTAAATATTTCAATGAAAAGATGCGATAAAAAGACACAACCGAAGAAAAAAAACCGAAAAAAATCGTAAATATTTTAACGAAAAATTGCGATAAAAAGACACAACCCTTCAAAAGTGCATGCGATAAAAAGACAAAACCGTAAAAAAAATAACCGTAAAAAAAATAACAGTAAATTTTTCAACGAAAAGATGCGATTATAAAACACAATAAAAAAAATAACAGTAAATATTTTAACAAAAAGTTGCGATAAAAAGACACCACCGTTCAGAGGTGCAAAAAGCATTTATTGAGATTGCTATTCTTATTAGACGAAAAGTTACGATAAAAAGACACAACCCTTCCTAAGTGCTTGCGATAAAAAAACACAACCGTTAAAAAAACCCAATATATTTCAATGAAAAGATGCGATAAAAAGACACAACCAAAGAAAAAAAAACCGAAAAAAACTGTAAATATTTTAACCAAAAGTTGCGATAAAAAGACACAACCGTTCAAAACTGCATGCGATAAAAAGACACAACCCTAAATTTTTCATCAAAAAAAGATGCGATTAAAAAACACAA